ATACCACCCCGATGTGGGAACTGGGGTGCTGTGTGGGAGCCCAATAGGGGTGGAAGTCTCCCTCCTTGACCTTTGACAGCCAAGGGCTGAGCCCTCAATTCTGTGATGTTGGTCTTGTGTAGTGTTATTGTCTAGAATTTGTCCCTCTGTGGACTGCTCCTTGTGTGGTTCTTGGACTATCTAGAGAGTAGGCTTTTGATAGCACTTTGGTTTTGTTTACACTCCTTGGCACTTCCAGGCTGTCAACTTCTTTAGCTCCCCATGTGGAGAAAACCCAAGGAAAACTGTCTTACATTGAGTGTAAGGTCTCCCGCTGGATGGCCTCTTTTTCCCACTTGCCTCAGTTTTCTGTCTGCCTTGTGTACAGTGCCCAGCATTCTTAATCGTATTTGGCAGGAAGAACAGGGAAAATCATGCCAACTCTTTTCATGGTAGTGGGGTAGAGGCTAAGGTAAATATTTTTTAAATTTAAAAATTTGAAATCAAAACTTTTCATTTATTCTTTGTGTGTGTCTGTGTATGTTGTGTGCTCTGTTTAGAAAATCTTTCCCTACCCCTAATTTGTAAAACCTTTCCTCAGCATTAGTTCTGAGTTATAGCTTTTGTGTTAAGTTTGGTGAACCACAAACAAGTCAGTGTTTGTGTCTTATGTAAAGAAGGGTTGAGGTTAGCTTTTCCTCTGTGAGTTTCTCGTTGTTCCAGTACATTGGTTGAAAGTCTATCCTTTTCTCCTTGACTTAACCTTCAGTTTTGTTGACAGTAAGCTGAGCATGTGTCTGTCCCGGACTGTTCTGGCCCATTCGTCTCTCTGCCTGCTTCACCCCAGGTCTGCACTGCCTTGATTGCTGTAGCCGGGTACCACCTTCCAGGGCCACAGGCTCCCAGTGCTGTTCTCTGAAACTGTTTTGCCTGTTTTTGTACTCTCAACTTCTAACTGTGCCACAAAAGTCAGTGACTCCAGCAAAAGTATGCTGGGGTATAGGTTGGGGATGTATGGAGTCCATTATGCTCAGTGAGAGTTGAGATTTTAGCCGTTTGTCCTTCCTATCTAGACTGCCACATTTTCCCACTTACTAATGTTCTCTCATTTCCCTGAACTACACATTGGCCTTTCCTTCCTCAGGCCTTATTTTGCTAAACTTTTTCTACATGTATTTTTTACTGTTATTGTAAATATTTTAAAATTTTATTTTATATTTAGTTGTGCACAAAACCCATTTGCCATTCGTAGACTACAGCTGGGCACTGCTTTAAATTCATGTGACAGTTTTTGCCTTCTCACTGGACTGTTAAGGACAGTTGCATTTAGCTATCTGTTTATTTCTTTGGATTTAAATCCAAAATCTTCCAACTTTTTCCTATACGTCCCATCTGGTTTTGTAACCCTTTCACTTTTTGTTCTTCTTTTGATTGACTGCACCTTTAAAAAATGATTCTCTTTTGTAATTCTGGCTTGGTGGTGGCTTTATTGTTTTCAAGTCATGTTTACTGCTGTATGTCGATTGGTTTTTAATTGTTTAAATCATTTTCTCTGGTTTTCTGTTCCTCATGCTGTGCTCGTTCCTTATCTTTTTTTATTGATGCAAAGTTTTGTGTTATTTGTATAGTGTATTTTTTCCCATGGTGGTTGTGCTTCAAGTTTTAATACACAGTTGATAAAAGTGTTGAAAGTTAGATTGTACCCACCTAAAATTACAAATACCTTGAACACCTTTAATGCTCATGATCTGCTTCCATTTTTCATGGATTTTTTTTCCTAATCTGTTAGCTCTATTGTTTTTACTGTTTTTAAGACTGTTTCAGTTTGCCAGGAACTGTTTAGATTAATCCATACTTTTATCTAGTTTTTGACTTTTTAAAAGTTCTTTCATCTCAGTCCTTAACCTGACATTTCTCTTTTTCCAAAATTTTTTATGCTTCCTATTTTATAGATAATTGTTCTTACCAGTTCAGGAAAATGTTTAGACAGGATCCTAAAATGATGTTTTCCCATTTGCCTTTCTGGAGTTTCTATTCACTATGTTTTGGATTTACTAGTTGTTTTCTCCATCTCTTTTATACTGATTTTTCTTCCTTTTTATTTTGTATTCTGAGTAATTTCTTCATCTGTTTGTTGCATTTTATTATTCTAGCTACAGCTGGCTTAATTTTTCTGTCCAGCCTGCCCACTGCATTTTTCATTTCCTTTCAGTCACTGTTCATAGTTTAAATAGGTCATCCATAGGATGCGCTTCTCACCAGTGTGGCCTGGGTGTGCAGGGGCTCCCGGAGAGTTCCAGAGAGTGTCCTTATGTCCTTTTGCCAAATGGCTGTCAACCAAAGACAATTTTAAGCCATTTTTTGACTTGGAATTTCTTGTACAACTCAGAAAATGCTATAAAAATTGCAAACCCACTGTAAGCAGACTATTATGTGGGACTTTGCAGAGGATTTTGTTTGTGTTTTTCTGTTCCCTTTCTCTCCATCCCACAGCCCACTTCTGACAGAGAAGAAACTGGTTTAGGTTTTTCTCCTGTTCTCCTTAGGCTGGTAAAGTATAGAACCTTAGAATGCTGAGGTTGGTCCCAAATAGCAGTGCAGCTGTCATTGGGTTCGTAGCTTTCTCCCTACCTATAGCCCTTATCTTCTTTCTTTTTCTTTTCTACACCATACCTTTCTTTTACTTCTCTTTCTCCTCTCCCTCCTGCCTTCCTGCTCTCCTGTCTTCTGTCTTCCTTTACCCCCATGTCTCTCATTGTAGAAATTGGCTGTTCAGGCTCGTTCTGTTGTGTTCAGTTCGGCAGTCTTTAACATGAAGATTATTCTAGATAGTGTAATAACCACACAGCCAGAAGTGGACATCCTTCCCTGTATTTTTGTTTTTTCCTTCCCTGTGTTTTAAACCTCATTTTCTACCTGTCCAATCCTCATTTTCTGCTTTTTTTAAAATGAGAAATACATTGTTTCTTCAAAAGAAAATTTAATATACCAATTTAAATCTAAATAGTTTTAAAATATAAATTACAATTTTTTAGTCTGTCTTCTAAAGGTCTAACTTTTTTTTTTTACTGCAAGTTTCAGCTTTTGTGAAACAGCCACTGCTTCAGCAGCCTCACTGAGTGAGGAACAGATGAAGTAGTCCACATGTCGAAAAGTGAAAGTTTTGTCTTCCAAAATCCTAGGACGTTTTAAGCTTCCCCACTTCCTTCTCCTGTTTTAATTTTTAATAAGAATTCCAATCTCACTTGATGGCTGTATTCATTTTTCCCCATAGGTTCCCAAATACAGGTACTACCTAAAGGTACCCAAAGGACTCTGTCTTATAATATCTATAACATCTGGTTTATATTAGTTCTCCCTGGGTGGAATTAGAACCCCCATTAGATTTGATCCTCATGTAAATTAGGATATTTATTTCTTCTCCAGGAACATCCATACTTCTAGGTAGTGGTTGCCTCCTAGGTTTGCTGCCTTAATGTACAGCACACACCAAGCTGCCCAGTTAATTTTATTCAGTGCTAAACTGGCATGGCCCATGGAGGCATGTATGGCATTTAAAATAACCTGTTTAACTTCTCCCTGCCTAAACTCTTGTATTTGACAGGTTGCTCATTGTTGAAATAGTAACAGTTGCTTTTCTAATCCTGTAACCAGTGACTAGCTGTTGTGGAATATATTCCTTCCATATATACTTAATCTTTCCAGAAAGGTTTTTGTGAGGCAAGTAGGGAAACAAATAGTGTGGATCAGGGGAGCTGATGCTTTTTAAGTCAATTTGTTGTTTCTTAAACTAGGTTTCTGGCTTTTGGAGAGTGTTTATAATTATGATTGTCCTCATCATGTCCAGATTGGTTTAAAAAGTTTTACTTTTGCATTTGTAATCCTTACAAAACTCACAGAGTTCCCCTTCGGTATGAACTAACCCAGTGTTAGTACCTAACACATTTAGAATAAGAACATCAGTTAGTGATTTGAAAAACTTTTTACATTCTCTTCATATTTATTAGATAAAAGAGCTATATTCCTTCTCCTTTTTAGATGGACAATAGGGAATAGTTGTCTGATGTTTGTGTCTTACCAGGTTTTCTCAGGTCTAGCACATTGTTTTTTGTTTGTTTTGAGCTTTTTTGCACAGATGTTAGGAAGTTGTGGTTAGAAATATGTCTTCTGAAACTTTGAATTGTAGTTTCACATTTAAATGTAATTAAATGAATACCATATTTGCATCTAATTCTTAAGTACTTCTTTAAGAAGGAAGTTTGTGTTTGATCAAGTGAAAAATGACAGATTTACTAGAATTTATCAAAAGCACAAAAGTTCATTGAAACTGAAAAGCTAGTAATTGAGTAATAGAACAGTAGTTGTATATTTGAGTGCATTATGTTAAAAAACATTTTTAATTATTTAGTGAATTTTTCCATGAAAGAGAATGTACTTTACAGTATGCTTGAAGAGCATGGGAAAGCAGAGGAGCCCCATTGATGGGTGTCCCTCCATGCTCTGGCCTACCCGGGAGGTGCAGCAGGCCTGGCTGGGAGGGTTCAACTTGGGACCAGGCCTTGGGCTTAGTGAGCATGGAACATTTTAAACCTCTTATTAATTTTAGGAGTCTAGCCACAGTTATTATTATAAATGTAAAGGTAATTATGAAAGACTAGAGAGGATGCCTGAGGATATGCTCCTAATGAGTCTTAAAATATGTTTCACTAAGTTTAATGCATCCTTAAATTTCAAGGATCTATCTTGATTTTGCTCAGATGCCTATCTGTATATTATTCAGAAAGCAAACAGGTAGAACATTTGATTGTGTATCTGAACAACTTCTTTGTATGGCCTATGAAGTGCATTTGGAAATGTAGGAGGTGGTAGAAAACATCTTTTTATTTTACATGTATTATTTATGTCCTATGAATGCAAGATAAAAGACCTTGAGACTTGTTTTCCCTTCCCTCTGTCTTCTTTGTTTTAAAATTATATTCATTTGTGGTAATATATTTTTTCAAATCCTATTTCTGTTTTAGGCTAAACATCTCATAGAGAGATTTTTTAATCAACAAGTAGAAGCTCTGGGCAGACGTGCACAACCATTGCCTCAAATATACTATATTGAAGGCACCCTGGCAATGGTGTGGATTAACCGCTGCTTCCCAGGGTATGGGATGAACATCCTGAAGCATCCTCAATGTCCTGAGTGCTGCGGTATGTAAGGAACTAGGATTCCACCTTTATGTCAACAAAAACTTGTTTGCTTTCATTATGCCCAAGTGAACGGCTGTCACTTAACATTACTCTCATTAAGTATTGTTTTAGGTTGTGTGAAGTGTGTTTGAAAGATTCCATAAACATAAAGACAGGAAAAGCTTGTAGAATTAGGGCTCAGGAGCATTAGGCAATTGTCTGGGAGGAAACACTTAATAGTTCTGAGTCATTTAGAGTTGTTTATCCTAAAGACAGCAAAATGCTACAGCTTTTAGAATCTGTTATTGAGCATTTACTGTATCGTATAAGGTACATAGCTTTGTGACTTTCTTTTTAAAGTAAATATTTGAATCCCCTTAGTAGCAGTTGTTTTCTGACTGTTGACCCTGGCCCTGCAGGATCCAGCCTCTCTCTGACATTCACCTTCTCCATCCTAATACACAAGCATTCCATAGAGGTACTCGGCTTAGTTTGAGTACTGTACGTGAATTCAACTCTTTGCATCTCTGTTTTCAGGAGTTCAGAGGGACAATTAATTTCTGTCTTAAAAATGCTTTCTGGCACAAATATAACTAAACTAGTAGCATTTTCATTCAGTTATCTCTAATTATTTTTTCTCCTTTCTACTAAGTTAGAGTAAAGCTTTTTCCTGTAGTAATGCAGTAAGTTTTCTTTTTACTTTCATTGGTTAGATTTTGCTTTATCATTTTCTTGTTTTGTTTTTGTTTAAATATGTGAAATTTAATAAAATAAATTAAAATTATCACAGGAAATACAATAAAAATTTAACAAAGACAGCACTCCTAATTGGTGACTACGTACTATCACTCTGGCACACATAAGCATAAAGAAAAGCCTAGAAATACGCAGCAAAGAAAACAGAACCTAGTAGGTTTGCTACCTTTAGGCATTTGTATTTTTATTCAATTCATTAAATAGGTAAACTAAAATTGTTTGGATATTTGCATCTCAATAATTTAGAATTTTGAATTCAACAGCTCTCTCAAGTGAAGTAGTGATGCAGAGCCTCTGAGAATTACAAAAAATTTTACCACTGTTTTTTTTAACTTATAAAAGTTTGGGTAGCCACACAATTGTCAAAGCATCTAATTTCACCCTGTAATTATAACATTCACATTACTACGTGCTGTACTTTTTGATCATGTTAATTAAGCAGTTATTTCTGTCAACAGACCTCATAAGAATGAATGTACAAGCAAATTCATATATAAATCTGAAAAATATTTTCTGTCTCTGAAATACTGCTTTATTTTTCCAAATACATGGTTGCTGTCCACAGAGTCTAGGGACATAGAAGGTACATCTGTGAAACATATAGGGAACAAGAGACTGTGAAACTGCAGGGAAAAGACTAAGGAAAACTTGAGTTCGAGGTGATATAGGTGACAGAGACTTAGTGCACTTAGGGTCAGGGTTTTGTGGTGATCTGAAGCTTGACGTGGTCGCTTTGAGGTTATCAGATGGCAGGCATGGTGTCAGCCTGAGCACCAGAGCTGGGAGCCGCTGGGGGGCTCTGGCCCAGGCTGGGGAGCTGGGGCAAGCCCCGGGGGGCACAGCAGGCCTGGAGGGTGAATGGGAGAGAGGGATTCAGTTTGTTGGGGTTGAGGGTCAGGTCCTTGAGTGGAGGAAAGGAGAGGAGAAAAATTTATGTTTTATATTTTTATGCCCTCACTGTCATTCCTCACTGGACTTATTAACTAGTGATCTGCCAAATTTCTAATTTCGTTTTGTGCCGTCCTAGGACAAATAAATACTTTAAATTAGAATGACCTTTCTGCAATTACTATCTTTGCAGGCTAAGTGAGAAAGAGCTCTCCTTTGTGACAGAAACTCATTAAATAAAATGTGGCATTCAGGCCCCCATCATATTCAGTCATTTTCTGTCTCTAATCCAGAAAGCCATTGCTTCATATTTTTAAAAGAGCATGTATGACTCAAAAACACATTTAAATCATTCTCCAAATGAGAATGTCGGGATAACATCAGTTACAAGACAAAATTAGCATGCACAATGAACTTAGAATCCATTTGATTGTGTAGATAGAAGCTCATAAAATATATGAGTTGTTTTGAAAATGGCTTATTTCAGAATGATGATGCACCACATTTATGCTTGGCAAAAAAGATTGAGACCAGGTATGTTTATTATGTAAGAGAAATTTATTTCCTTAAAACATATTGGGCTTGTTCCTTTTCTATGGATAGTTTCCTTGTCTCATTTAATTTTTACTTCTAGATGGCAAAAATTGATTATAAACTAGTGAAGACTTAATACTTCTATCTGTATACTTTTACTATTTTTGTTTCACTTCCTGTTTTTTCCACTGTAAAACATCTTTGTAACATTTTATTTAACATTGTGTCTTATGTTTATTTTTTATCTTTATCTTTGTATTTTGTGCTGCTGGAGATTGAACCCTGGGTATTATGACCAAACTACACCCCCATCCATTTTTAATTTTTATTTTGAGGCAGGGTCTCACTAAGTCACTAAACTACCCAAGCTGTCTCCAATTTGCAATCCTCCTGCCTCAGCCTCCCAGAGTGCTGGGTTTGCAGGTATGTGCCATAACACCTGGCTACATAGGTCATTTTTGTTGATCATTAAAAAAAGGTTTTAACTAAGTTTATATATTATAGATGCTTCATAATTTCATAAAATTATATCTTTAAAATACTACAACAGAAGACCGGGCAAATATATTTTTTCTGATACAATTTTGTCAAAATACAAACACTGAAATAGTTTACTTTGTAGTTTCTATTCTATAATCTATAGTATTTCTGTGAAACTGCATCTTGTCTATTTATATTTCACCATTTTATCCCCAGTAATTTCCTCCAAAAAAGCCTTGCTGGACACAAAAGCCCACACCCTTCTTTTCTGTCTTTGTCTTCCCACTGAGGCAGCAGGCCACTGTCATTGTTTTTCAGGGTCTGACTGCAGCTGGAAAACAGCACCCAGCATTGTTCTTTTTGTTACTTTTTTGTGAAGAAACAGTCATTGCTCAAGCCTTTTGGCAATCATGAAGAGTATCTAGCAAGGAGCTGCCACTGTGATGCGGGTTCAGTCAGGGATCAAATGTGACTAGGTTAGGTTTGAAGCAGGTAATCATCCCGAGATTCTTTTCATTGAAGTGAAGTGCACCTTTGCACTTAAATGAATTGTTTGGTGAAAATGCAGTTGTTCAGTAGAAACAGTTATCTTAAGTAAGATCTTTTAGGCCCTATGGATTTATCCTGTTCAGACATGCAACCCTGAGCTCTTGGCCTAATTTTATATCAAATGACCAAAAACACATGTATTTAAATAATTGAGTTATGAGTATGACATAGAACTCATTTTGTCTTTAGATACACAAGGTCTCATTCTCATTTTAGATCATTACATCTCTAAGAAAACTATAAATGATTGAGAAGTCATGGCCGAAGAATAGGTAGCCCTATCAATTAGTTGAACATGTTGCCTGATTTTCTTTTAAAAAGATAGATTTATTTAGTTCCAGAAGAATGAAGAACAAGTCATCTGACTGAAGTTGCAAGAAACCATCTTTCTTGCATTTGCCAGGCAGATGTGGCCCCACTGAGCCAAATCCCCAGCCCAATCTTAAGTATTTTTAAGAACTAACATTGCAAGGACTTGGTGGTACAAAAATCTAAAAAGTAATATAACCTGCTTCTTCAGGCTACAGTGGAGTAGATTTGAGCAGACAAAGCTTCTGCTGAGAACATTGGAGAGGTCAATTAAAATATAAAAATTAATTATTCTGTAGAAGACAAGTGTCAGGGCACAAGGGCTCAAGGGATAGTGACCCCGTGTGGAAGGAAACTGCAGAAGTAAATGGCGATTCCACAAGATGACACATCTGTGTGCTGAAAGCAAACACCTGCTGGCTTGGGAGAGGGCACTCCATGGAAACATCTGTTGAAGGGTGGCAGAATAAAGACACTCTGGGCAGACAGTCCCAGAGAGAATTTGTCACAGGTAGAATCTGTCATTGGCATGTACTGAAGTGCTAAAGGAAATTCTTCAGGTAGTCAGAAATGACCCTATACAGAAATGTGTTGTGCAGCAAGGAAGAAGAGAAAGGTGGAAGGGAAAATGTAGATAGATGTAAACAAGTACCGACTACAAGCATATGTGTGTATTGTATGTACCTGTGTGTGTGTGTATGTGTGTGTGTGAAACCTTCCTAGGGTTTAAAATATAAAGAACTAAATATATGGTCATAGTAACACCAAAAGCAGGGGAAATAACTGAATGGAAACACTCAAAGTTTCAGCTATTTTCTAGAATTAGTGTGAATAATGATATGTTTTGGATCATAATGAGATTCCGATGCAGAAAATATTCTTTAAGCAACTACTAAGCAATAATAAAATAATATGTCCATAACAATTAGATGAAAAAATTTAAAAGAAAAAATTCCACTTGATTAACTCCCAAAAAAGTCAAGACTGAAAGGGTGGGTGAAGCACAGTTGGGACAAAATCAGTTTAATGTAAATGGACTATTTCACAGCAATGAAAAAAGTCTGATGTTCTGTATCATTAAATTCAAAATTTTGTTTCTTTACCATATGAACTGAGTACATGCTGTATTTATTATTTAATTTATTTGTGTATAAACACACACACATCTTTTGAAGGGTTCTCTTGTTTGTTTTACTGACCTATGCCCGTTATTAACTTTATTAATTTTACTGCATAGATCTTCATTCTTTTTAAAAACTGTTAATTATTAACTTTATCATCTTAATATATTATTTATATATACTTATATATTATATTATTATATATTTATATAGTATTAATCTTGCTGCATATTCATTCTTTATAAAAATTATTAATTTTTAATTGGTTTATCAAGTTACAGTATTTAAAAGCATGGTTCAGAGTTTATGGTTTTATTGCCTATATGTAGATTAACAGCTATCTTTACATTAGTAGTATATAGATGGATTTTTAAAAAATTGAGT